ATACACTCTGTTTTGATTACTGTAGCTTTATAATAAGTTTGGAAGTCATGATGCTTAAAATCTCCAATTTTGTTCTTGTTAAATATTGGCTTCCTTGAGATTCCATGTGAATTTTCATTATTCTGTGAGTCTCCATATGAACTTTTAGTTGGCTTTTCTATTTCTGCCCAAAAATGGTGTTGGGATTTTTATAGGGGTTGCATTGAATCTTTCGATCACTTTGGGAAGTATTGCCATCTTAACAATATAGTTTTCCAGTCTGTGATATCTTTCCATTTATTTGTATCTTTAAGTTCTTCCAGCAGTGTTTTGTTGTTCTTAGTGTTCAAGTTTTTAGGTCCCTGGATTAAGTTTATTACTAAACAGTCTTTCTGTTGCCATTTTAAATTGTGTCATTCTTTAAATTTTTCTTTTTGATTGTTCAGTGTTAGTGTATTTTTGAGTATTGGTTTTGTATCTTGCAACTTTGCTGAATCTGTTCATTAGTTCTGACAGTTTTCTTGTGGAATCTTCAGGGTTTTCTACATTTAAGATTGTCTTTCGATGAACAAAGATAATGTGACCTCTTCTTTTCTGACTTGGGTACCTTGTATTTCTTTTCCTCTAATGTTTTCTCATCCTCCTTTCACATTTGCCCTCAACTTGTCTTCAGATTAGCCTTACTGATTATGCTATTTCTCTCAAACCCAACTCCGTGAAAACACGTGCTTGGTACTTTATGTAGTCTGCTCATCTTTATATTTATGCTTCAGTTCTTATTTTCCTGCTCCTTGCTCTGTTTGGGCTGCCTCCATACTATTCTCCAGTCATATTCTGTGCCAGTTTCCTCCTAAAGTAGCCCCTCTGCTTTGAAACCTCTATGAAAGACAAATACTTCAGTATTTATTTAGGATTCTTATTTTAATGCCTTTATAGTTCCTTGAGCTAGGTGTGCCTCAACACCACTTTCAGCACTCCAGCTTACCAGGGAGCCTGCTCAATGGACTTTCTCTTTTGCCATTAGCATCCCTGTGTGAAGTATCTGATTGCTCTTCTTTCCCACCCCTAACCCCACTGATCTTGGGAAAAGACAGCGAGTATAGACGGCATTGGTCTTTCTTCAAAATAGGACCAAATGGTGGACACTGGGTAACTTGAGACTCTTTTTAAAAAATAAAAATGAATTACATTGCTAAAAGAGTGATGAAAAGAGATGCTAGCTTTTACCATATACATTAATACTCTCAGAGATGACGCCTTGATTTATATTTTATTACAATCTTTTTCTTAGGAAAGTCCTTTCAGTGATCTGCTATGCATGAGATATATATAAATGCCCTTCTCTACTCCAGTGTCCACAAACTTTGCTGTACCTCAGACTCACTTGGAGGGCTTATTAAACATAGCCTTCTGTGTCCCCACCATCCAGAGTTTCTGATTCAGTGGGTCTGATATGCAGCCCCGTCATTAGCATTTTTAAAAAATTCCCACGTGATGTTGTGCTGCTGGTCCAGGCACCTCTTACTGTTTAACTTTATTTTTTTCTCATTATCTAAGCTAGACCATGTTGATTTGGGTATTCTTCCACCTTCTGAACTACAACATGTTTTCTTCAACATCATTCCTTTTCAGGTTTCAAAAATAATTGGTGATATCACTGTTCTTGTCACCCCCAGGGGTGTCCTATGTATCTCCCACACACATGATTCATGCTTTCCGGATTGTGTTGACTCTGTGATGGTGGTGATGACAACAGCAAAAACAACAATAATCATCATAGCCTAGAACAGCAAGGCACTGTTGTGAGCATTTTGTTTGAATTAAGTATAATCCTCACAACTCCCTCTTGGTACAGACACTGTTAGCTTATAACTAATGGGAAAACTTGGGCACAGAAAGGTTCTGAAGGCCAAAAAAATGGTGGACGAGATGGGACCCTTCTTGGGCCGCCTGGCCTCAGAGCTGTGCTGTGCGGCCCCGCCATCTGCCACGCGGCCTCTCATGGGATGTCTCGTGGCCTTGCTCGCTGTGTTTTCCGTAGCCACGGCCCTCCACGCACCACACCTTGGTCAGCCCATAAGTGAGCTGTATCGTTACATCCAAGCACTTTACATGCCTGGAATTAGTTAAATTCTCGTAAAATTCCTATGACTTTGTGAGAAAACTGATGCTTAATAAACCTAAATTTGCTTCCCTAGTTTCTTACTAGTAAAATGTACCACAGCCAAGACCTGAATATTTAAAATAACTAAGCCCAAATCAATATGTATCCTTCCCCTCAACCCTGCTGATTTCTGAACTCAAGTCTCTCAGCAAAGGATTCATGTCCCTAGTGCTGCTCAGGTCTTTTCTCAGAGCAGCAGTTTCTCGCCTCTCACCTTGTGGTAACGTGGCTGGTTCAGTTTTCAAGCCCCTCTCCAAGCACTTTTTTTTTTAAGGTTTGTTTGTTCATGCAAGAACTGGGGTACAGGCCGGAGGTGTGGGGGGTGAGAGGATTCACCAGAGACAGAGTGGGGAACAGAACAAGCAGATTGACCAAAATACACTGCTGAGGGGAGCAGCAGCAGAGGTCTGCTGCACCATGTGGGTAGAGGATCGAACTGGCCGGGCATCAAACTGGTGCTGCAGTGGCTGCGGGTAGCTTCATAGGTTGCGTCTTAACCCCTTGCGCTGCCAGGGAGGCCCTTCAAGCACTTTTTAAAAAACTATCTGGTAAGTGCTTCAGACACAGAACTTCACTTACCCATCTCAATCATCTTGCATATCATTTTTTTTTAGAATGAAGTATATTAAAACTGTAGCCTTCCAGGCAAATATTGTGCCTCATCTTCCAAGGTGACCTTTGTGTTTTCCACCAAGCCGCATGTAGGCTATTGGACAACCTGTCACACCTGTGTTTGATTGTACCTCCTGGACTGAAATGACTCATAGATAACACAAGTTTCCTGTCATTTGGATGAAAGCAACATTATAATCTTCCTTAGAAAGTAAATTTATTATTGGACATAACAGTATGTATGTATATAGAAACTAAGAGAGGGAAAAAGTGAATATCCACTATGAACTGTAAAGATAAGCTCAGTGGAATTCCCTGAGAAGGAAAACGAAGCAGCCCCCGCAGCCCTGAGCTTCTAGGTCTCCAGGGTCCTGAGTTTTCCCCCTTGGTTCCATCTCTTAATTCTTGCACATTGCACTTACCTCCCTCAACTTCTGCCATCGCTCAATTTCTTCCTTACATTACCTTCTGCCTTAAGTTGCTGATCTCTGTCTACTCACCCCAAATTTCATTCTAAAAATTAGTCAGATTAATAGAGCCATAGACTCCCTTTATCAGGGAGCACTGCTGTCATGGTCAGAACTCAACAGGTGAAATAGCTGCCTGGCAAGGTGCTGATGACATTCTAGTAAAGAGCCTAAGAGCTTTAAGAATTCAGTTGTAAAAATTTCTCCTATGCTAAGTAATACTGTATAAATAAAATGTTTCATTATTTTTTAATTCATTGATGAGATTACAGTGAAGGAGATTCTAATACTGGCTATTAGTGGTCTACAGAAAAGCATACAAGTCACTTGAGATCTTCATTTGTGATAGTGATTTTTAAAAATACACTCAAGTATTACATTCTCAGCAGAGGTGAGAGTTCTGCTATTCCAAAGCTTATTTTTAGTGACAAACCATACTGTTAGCACCCTGAGCCCTGTTGCCATGGAGACAGTAATGGGCTTTATTTTGCTTTTTAAATATACACTCAAGACACACATCTACACCCTAAAATTTAAAGTGCGATTTAGTTGTCTGTAGGTTTTGAGAACTGGCACATTTCAGAAGTATTTCTTTGTATTTGTAAATACTTTGTTATTTTTAGCCTTCAAAAAAAAAAAATAGAATCCCCTGTGGATCAGTAATGGATGAGGATTTTGAAGAACATGCAGAAACATTTGAAAAAAGTAATTTGATCTTAAGCACCCACATGTCTTAGACACCTATGGTCATGACACTGTAATGCATACAAATCAATTTCAGATTCAAGCGATACCTTTGTGGTAGTGCCCGTGCCCAGCACTTCCACCCTGTAGTTTTTGAAATAGAACTCAGTTTGAAAGTACCAAAGCAATCTTCATGACTTTAACTTCAAATATAGTTAGCTAATTATTTAAATATACCAAGAGTATTTCTTAACTTTTCCCCCTAAAGATCAGTGAATAAAATTTATATAGACTTTCAACAAGTAAACCTTTTGGGAATTACACTTTGTATTTCATTCCTTGGAAGAATGAGTGGATTCCATGGCATGGAATATCACTGGACCTCAGACCTCATGTAACTAAATCACATCTTTTTAGTATCCACTGTCAAGCTGGCCTGGTCCAGTTAATCTTAGCCCACCAGCAGTTGTGACTTCTTACCTTCATAGCTGAGCATTCAGGTGACTGATTTCCTTGTTAAACTAGGTTAATTCTACTGATGGTGTTTTATCACAGCTGAGTGTTATAATAGTTATTTCTGAATTAAAGAAAACCTTTGATTACAACTGTTAAGCAAAATCTTAGAACTTAGTCCTATACTTTCCTCAGCCACTGCCTATATTTACTAGCAGGAGACAACTAAATTAAAAAACTCTTGGCTTTACAAAGAGAGAGAAAATCACTAAAGGTAATAAATAGACAATTGACAGTTTATGCTCATAGTTTTGGATATTAAGTTTTTAGCTTTTCCAGTTTGCAGTGATTTTTTAACAAGACCCATCTCCTCGATGAAGAATGCAGTTAATTTTTTTTCTGGCACAAAAAAAAAATAGGGTAACCTGATCTGAGTCTGACAGAGTGTGTCGTTCATTTAAGTGCTTCCATCTGTTGCCTGCTGTTCCCCTTACTCATGACCCCTCTATGTTTCTCTCTTTCCCTTTCCTTTTCCCCTTCTATTTGCCTCTGTTTTTCTTTCCTTTTTTGTTCTTCCTTTCTTTCTTTTTCCCTCCTCTCCCTCCCCCCTTCTCCCTCTCTGTCTCTTTTTTTGTCCTTAGCCCCTCTGAGGAAAGCAAAGTTTGTTGAGAGCCCACGAATTCCAGAATCCGAGCTTGGCTCACCCACCCTCACTTCAGCTCAGAAACTGGACGTGGCTGCGTACTGTGCTGGTAAGCCTGCATGCGAGGTGCCCGCTTTGAGAGAGGGAGGTTTGGACCAGGCCCATCCAGCAGAGCCTGTTTTGCATATCTGTTAATCATAAAAACAAATCCGTTAACTCTTTGCAACTGATCCAGTATTTTCCTTATTAGAACATGGTTTTTACTGAATATCCGCTTTAACTATTGAGATAGTAGTGATTGAGAGTAAATATTGAAAACACCTTCAAAGATAATTTTCAAAGAAAATAATTTTGGTAGCTTAATCATTTTCAGGTGATTTCTTGATACGTGAAGAATTGCTTTGGCCTTATACAACATAAATGTTAAAGATATAAAGATAAAGATGTGAATGTCCGTAACACTAACCTTTGCACATGACTTATTGTCCTTCGTCACCGTTGGATTTCTACACAATTCTGGAAAGTAGTTGTGATGTTGGAAACATTAATTGAATTAGAAAAGAAGCATCTTAGGTTCCTGATTTGGACTCCTGGACACTCACTTTTAGAAATGCCTCTGCTCATGAATGGCCTGTAGGCACATGTAGGAGTTCACTAAACCCTTCCTGTGTGGGAGCCAAACTGAGACAGACTCATTATCAGGACTTAGATTCTTCCAGACTTAGATGAGTTGCCTGGCAACGTCCTTTACACTCACTTGACAGTGAGTCTATAGAGCTGTGTCAGAAATGTTCACAGCTCTGGTTGAGTGTACAGATCAGAGCCTTAGTAAAGGACCTTAGAAGGCTTGGTTTTCGGTCGTTTGTTTATTCCTGCTCATTAAAATTGATGTTAAACCACAGTGAATGCAACCATTACATATTTACAGTATTAGAGGTCAGCAGAAAAAATGATTTCTAATTCTATGGAAGATTTAATATAGCTCTAATGCGAAATGTCAGGATAATATGCCTCTGACATGGTGTAAGGCATGTTAAAAAGAAAGCAGAAGACTGGGTGAAACAAGCCAAACCTAACCAGAGATTTTATGAATCATTTTTAAATACTGAAAGAAAGACCTTGGAATACTGAATCCAGAGCTTCATCCACTCTTGTAGAAGGCCATTTTTAAATCAATCACAGGTATGTATTAGGAACCAGCTTTTCTATTTCTGAAAGGAACAAAGTGGGTCTTTCAGTGGCACTGTAGCTCATTGTTAGAAGAATCTTGTTCATGTTCTAAGGAATCATACTTCGTGGGCAGTGGAATGTTGTATTTTGCATTTCTTCATGCAAATTTTAGTGCAATAAAGTAAAATAAATAAATACACTAATTCCCCATTCCTTCATGGAGGTTTGGAAGCAAAGTCCCATCAGAGGCCTTTTCTTTCCAGATTTGCAAGTCAGAGTAATTGTTAGGGAGACCAGTTGTTCACTTCCTGATTACCCATCTGACATCCTTAATCTAATCTGGCTATTGACGTTGTCAAGAAGCAAAGTAGCTGCTGTTTGTTGGAATGCCAGTGCTGAATCATTATGGAAAATCTAAACCATGTTATTATTTACATATATTTTCCACAAGCATAATTCTTTGCTGAAATGGAATTAAATCAAACTAAAGCTCAGTTAAGATTTTTAGAAAGCCAGAAAGAAAGCAAAACACATTGCCAAAATGTTAATTGCCACGCTCTACAGTCTGTCCTTTTCTTATCTGAAACAGTTTTAAAACTCAGAAACTTCTTAATGACTTGCTTTTTTATAGTAAAGTTATTAAACTCTGAAGGGAAGTTTCTACTGAGATGAGAGTAGTGACCTGAAGGTTGAGCCTGTTATCTTCTGCATAGCACCAAAAATTAACTATAAGCAGATGAATTCAGTACATTCATAAAACAAATAACATTCCCTTCTATGTGAATTTCTCTTACATAAGGTATACTAAAAGAACAATAATCTTACTGTACATTCATTCATAACAATGCAGTTATAGCTAATTTTCTGGTATCTTGTCTACCTGCTTTATTCACCCTTATTTGCAATTTTAGGAAAATACTTTATCTCCCAGAAGCAACAATCATAAGCTAAAAGTTAGAGAGTGGTTCTCAAACCTCACATGCTACAGAATTTCCCGACGACTTGTTCAAGCACAGGTTGCTGGCCCCGTACCCAGAACGTCTGAGTCATTAAGCCTGAATCGGAAAGTAGCCGAAAAGGCAAATGACAGTCTGCCTTAAGTTCCCAGGTGATGCTGAAGCTGCTGGTTGAGGTCCACACTTGGGGAACCTGCCGGGTTACAGGGCTGCTGCAGGCTGCCTTCCCAGAGCAGTGCTGGAACCCTTTCGACGTCTAAGGGTGTAGCTGGGAAGCTTGTTTCTGTGTTACCTAAACTTCAACCTTTGGGTGCCTATACGTTAGGTTGGAAGGATAATGCTTTTGTGTCTGAGAAATGGACGTGCTGTTTCTACTTGGCTTGTCTTTCTGTGCCTGGTGTCTGGGTGCCTAATGTCTAATTTCCAGTGCCGCCCTTCCATGTAAAGAGAAACCGTTGATCAGATGAGAACAAGTCATTGGCCTTTGGTCTGCAAAGTCTAGGGAAAGTCATACTGGGGTGTAGCTATTGATCCAGAATACTTGTCTAACAAGTTGACTATTTCCAGCTATGTAGCATTTTACTGTTCCTCAAATCAGATCTGCTCTGTGGAAAATGTGAAAAATAAAAATACAAGTAAACAGTCTGTTGGGTCCTGAGCTGAAACCGTGGAGATGATGGAAGTTACATAACCAAACTGCCAGCGTAGAAGATGTTGAGTAGTAGCTTGTGTTTGATAATCATCTTACAGAGAGAAATGAAGGCCGAGAGAATTTAAGTGATTTGTGTTGTATCACAAGTGGGGTTCACTGTTGAACCACATAGTCCAGGATTGCATAGCTCCTAATTCTGTTACCATGTAAATTCCATAAACATCCTTTGACTACCCTTAAATTAAAAGCTGAAAATTCATTTTTTATGTATGAGACAGGCTGTATTCTGTTTTTAGGGTGACAAACTGATATCAGTGATTCAGCTAAACAAGTCCCAATAGAAGAGATCTATTCATCCTACACTTTAACTTTTCTGCCTGCAGCCTTACTTAATAGATACGTCATTTTACACAAGTCACTTAACATTTCTAAACCTCAGTTTCCTCATTTATAAAAATGGGAACAATAACCTCAAATCCGATTAATAAAAGCACTTAGAGTGCTTGGTTCACAGACAGAGCTCGTAAATGTTACTGACTTCTGTTGTTACACTGGCAATCCTGAGGCATACCTTGAAGTCTTTAAAGTGTTTTCTGAGTAATCAGGAGAAAAGGACGTAACTGTTGGCATCACTTTAGTTAAATATGTCTCACTGTGTCTCAGGTTTTTCCCCTTATCAAACTTGTCATGACGTCTCAGGCCTGTTTCCTCCCACAGCAACATTCTGTACAACATGACATTTCTGAAATGCAGCAAATTACCTGTTTGCATGGATTCGTGAATGTACGTTCACAGGGGAGAATGTCTAGAAAAATGCACCACACCAACCCTGGTTGTCCACTTGGATTGTTGGGAAGTGAGAGGCGGTGGGCTGGCGAGTCCAGGCCATATTAGCAACAGCTGCTCTGCTTGGTGGAGCCAAGGGTGGGGCAGTTCACTTCTTTCTTAGGCCACATGTTAGGGAATGAGAGCTCAAGTTCTGGGTTAGAACTGGATTTAATGTCACCTACTAGCTGTGTGTCTGCATTTCGTTGCCTTAAATTCTTTGTAAAATTGTGATAAAAATAGGCCTTTTTGAAAAGATGGGTCTGTCTCATGGGTTGTTGAGATTAAGGTAAATAATGTATGTGCCTAATGCCTAGCTCAGGCAAAATGTAACCATTCATCCTCCTCTTTATACTCTCCTAAATTATCTAAAATTTCTACAATGAATTTATATTGAAAGTTTTTAGTATTATACACTCTTAAATTATTTCTTAGTTTTTTATGGTTTTATCTTGCACATTATAACACATAATTTCAAGTGTGGAAATGAACCTTGACATAGATGCAAGGTTCATTTTATATAGAACTTTTAAAAAAAGATTTATTTTATTTATGCAAGAACTGGGGTACAGGCCAGATGCATGGGAGGGTGAGAGGATTCACCAGAGACAGAGCAGGGAACAGAACAGGCAGACTGACTGAAATACACTGCTAAGGGGAGCAGCGGGTGAGACAGGAGAGGTCTGCTCGCCATGTGGGTTGCTCCGAGGCCGGCGGGGCTTGAACTGGCACTGCAGAGGCTGAGGACAGCTTCTCAGCGCTGCACTCAACCGCCTGCGCCACCAGGAAGGCCCCAGTTTATAGAACTTTTGACCACATGTGACAAGGTTAAGGCCTACCACTGTCTACTGAAAACAGACAGACTTTTATCCACAATACACCAAATACCTCCTGAGAAATTTGAAATTAATCTTTTTATAAAAGATACTTTTAAATCTCTTTAAAGGACACTGTTCTGTAGAGGACAGTATTATTAAGCTGACAATAAAATTAGCATGTTTGAAACTCAGCAATGGAAGAGCTCTTTGTGGTAGTTATTTGGTGCATACTCATATTTGTGTATTTTTGGAATTTTTAAAGGATTGTTCACTTGGAATTCTTAATCACTTTATACATTTGCTAGCACAAGTACAAGCTACCATACATAAAATATTTTGTAGCGTGGACAGTTCCTTCAATCCTCTTTTCCCGATTGCCATATAGTCAAGGACATTCCATTAAAAAGGATAATTTGTTTTCTCATTTTCTTCCATTCATTTTTTCCCTGCAAATATTATTGAGTTATCTCTATCCTGAATAGTTAGTCATGCTTCATTTGTTTTGCTGTGAAATTTATGTGGCTAAATAAAACCATCTTTGTGATAGTGCATGGACCTGTGGGTGACAGGAGCTTTTCTGATTCATCTGTTACATTGTGTTTGTATTTTTTATGTCTACTATGTTGTAAACACAGTAAGCTTACAGTGGAATATTTAAGTTGAATTCAGTTGGTAAGCTTTAGGGAGG